GCTGATAAACTGTATGAGAGTGTGGCCTTGAATGTAATGTGGCATCAAATGTTAACAGGTGATCTATGAAGTTGCTGCCAATGTACTGATTTTATCTTTAACTATTACATTTTAAAATTAATGTTCTAATATTTGCCTCCTTTTTTTCTTCTTACATCTTTCCATGTCACTGTACTATTGTAGATTTCTCTCCATGTCTATTCATTTTTTCCCCCACCTCCTGTTTTGTGCTGCAAACCTTTCAGCTTTTTATCATCTTCTTCCTTATGTAAAATACCTTGGTCTCGCTTCTAATCCTCTGAAAAGAGAGGTCTTGTTTTCCATCTGTACCTAGACAAACTAATTCTTTATACCTTTACTCTTGTAAGATGAATATCCAGACTCACCAGATGAATAACCACACACTGGGAAAAAGGTGGAGAAATGGTATATTTAAGTTTCACATGCTGTTAACTCAGTTTTGTGAAGATTTTTGAAGTTTCTTCATCTTTTTGTTCAACATGTATTTGACTTCTTTCATAGAGACACATTCTTAGATTATTAGATCCCCTTAGATGACTGCTTTATATTATACAACATAGACAGTTTAAAAAGATTACTATTTTTAAGTCAGTTAAGTAATTATAAACTTTCTTTTACATCACACACCAGTCAGTATGAAATACTTGAATTTTTACTGTGCTCCAAGATGTGACTTAAAAATAACATTAACTCTTGACTAAATATAAATAGTTAATGATTACCTAGGATTCTGTGATTTCCTTTCCTCACTATTTACTGTTGCTCTGTGCTCACATGGTCATTTTTCACTTCTGATCTTACTTATGATGACATTTATGTTCCCCCAGAAGATCCTATGGGTTTTAAGAAATTTTAGTAGCTCTTTAATGAAAGCCTCAAAAACATTGTTTCTCTTTCACTGCATAGCTCTGAGGAAGTTGTTTTTTTTTTTTTTTTTTTTTTTTTTGGTTGTTTTTTTTTTTTTTTTTTTTTTGGTTTTTTTTGTTTTTTTTGTTTTTTTTTTTGGCAAAGCCGTTTGCTGTCCTTTCCAGTCAATTTTCTGAGACACATGGAAAATGCTGACAGCATGGCATCAGCTTTGTGTTTTTCAATAAAATGATAACTACTTTTGTTCTGTTCCAGGAAAGAGCAAGAACACTACTCTGAATCTTGCTTTTAAGAGTCCTAGGAGCTCTAACCTTCCTTCTGTTTCGTATAATGTAGATAACAAATGTGAAAATGGAATTACAAGCTCACAGAACACTTTGTGTAGTCTTGATAGTGAACTAAGTATCTTTTCATCTCAACCAAGTTTTATTTTGTAAATTTGGAGATGAAGTTACTTTTGGAATTTGCAAAACCATTGCAAATTCAATCATAGATTATCATGTGGTGCAAAAAGAGGGGAAAGCATAAAAATATTAATAGAGGATCAATAGAACATCAGTATTTTTAAGCTGAACAACGCAAATGGTCAGTCACTAGTTAAAACACTTTGTCACTTGTATAAATTTTTTTGCCTCTAGAGTTCTTGCTGTGTTTTATTAATGAATAGTTATAAATCTTTTTTAAGAACTTAAAGCTATTAGACCAGAGAAAAGCATTTTATTATTGTTATTGTTCACTTGAAATGCTAATTAAAGGCATCAGAACAAAACAATTTGCTTCAGATTGCTGGTTAAATTTCTTTTGTGCATTAATCATTATAATAAAAATACTTCACATAAAAATATATTGCTTTGCTGACAAGGTATATTCCATTCACCAGGGTTGAAAATGGCACTGAAAGTTAAGCTTGGTTTGTGGTTTTTGAGGGTTACATAAAATAATTCATGTGCAAATCAAAAAATAAAACTTACTTAGACAAAGGAGTTTTCTGCCAAAACATTTCAAAGCAAATATTTATCATCAAAATACTGATTCAAGTTATTTTGTAAGTCAAAAGAAAGGGATTTATCTTTTTCAAGCTAAATTTGACATTCTGCCTCTATACTCGATGAAGTTGATTAATACCTAATTTGGATACCTGCTTTGACCTGCCAGGACTGAATGTGTTTATTTTTCTTTATCGATTACAAAAATTTATTGATTACAAAAAGAAACTTACATTGACCAATGGCTCATTAGAGCTGGGGCTTTATCCCAAACCAAAATTCAGGTGTATGAAATGTCTGTTGCTTCTAATTGTTCCGGAAAAGCTGTTTCACTACAAGGTTTATATGGGGTTTTAAATTGCAGACTAGAGGATTATTGATGGTTTACTAAAGAAATACACAACTTGTATGTAATTCTGATTTGTACTTTTGAAGGTCATTTGCATGTTTGTTAATGTTGGCTAACTTGATGTAAAGAAAACGTAATTCTGCAAATAAGCAATGTGTTATTTCTTTATTGTAAGACTGAGAGGTGTGTTGATTTAGCCTAGATTAAAAACAATGCAATGCCTTCCCTGCACATTGCACATCACTCAAGTGGATCTACTTTACAATATGTTTTTGAAGTGAAATTCAGTTCAGTAACTCTCTGGTCCCAAAATATTTAAGACCAAATTTCAATGGAGATAGAAAAAACTAGAAAAAATACTAGACAAAACCCTCTGATAGATTATGTTGTGCTGAAAAGGTGTCTTGAAATTTTTCTGGTTTCCTTCCTTATTTCTACACCGTTTTGCCTATTGAGAAATCTTCCATGCTACCATGACTTTTTTTTTTTTTTTCACATAAAGTAATGCTGAAGTCCAATGTGAAATCTTTCTAGTTTTCTGACAGACAGCACTGGCAAACTCACAGAATACCCTGGATCAAGTGTTTTCAGGACTATCTTGATTCTGCCTTTTCTTGAGTGAAAAACAAAAAGTATATTTTATTGACTCTTTTTTGTGGGTACTTTTTTATGGGTACTTAAGCACGTGTTGGGCTAAGAAAGACAACAAGGACAGAAATATTCTTCAGTACAGTTTTCTATTAGGTTTTTAAAAAATGTGGCTTCAGCTTAGAATATGGGCAGATACCAGTATTTATAGTGACTACTGTAACCCATATCATGAACTACAAATTTTATGAAGTTACGTGTTTTTCACTGAGAATGTTACTTTGTTTGAAATTTAATCCATGTGTTGTCCTTTATTCCATCCTTGGTTGATGTAACACTAGCCAGTTCAAGCCAGTTTAGTGAAAGGTTGCTATTTTTCAATGTCGTCTTAGCACAAGTGTGTTCTATTTGATTTGAGCATGTATAACAAAAAATTACAGAATATATTGACTGGAGTGTACAAGTCAAGCTCATGTTTTTAACTCCATGTTCAGCACAAGCTGGAGGTGGAAACAAGATAAAGTTAACAAGAAAAATATAGCTCCCAGTGGAGCCACAGCTGAGTGTTTTCTGTTCATTTATGTAAACTCAGCTTATACCTCACACGAGACTGTGGCCTATATTGGTTTATCCTGAATGTATTGTCAGCACCATCACCTGCATTTAATACTGTGACAGACAAAAGGCTTTCTAAGTACAGTCTGAGGCCTGAACCCAATCTGTGGGAACTGCATTATGAAAGTTCATTTTTAGAGGTTTATGTTAAAAATAAAAATTGAAATGTTTGGTTATTTAACAGCAAATTATACATCTTTTTCTTAGAATAAATGTTTGCAAGCATTTTATGGTTTGCAAGCATTAGCCTAAATGAATAAATGGTAGTCTCATTTTAGACAATCCATTTTGTCTTTCAGTCCAAAACATTGGATGAGTTTACACTTGCTCTTTCCACAGTTCCACAGTTCATATTTGTCACAAATGTGAAAAAAGAAACAAGGTGACTTGATTTTCACCAAATTTCTGAAATAACAGTTTTCCTAAACTGTTATGTGGTACCTCCTTTATTTTCCTTTCTGTAAATGAAGTAAGGAAGAAAAAGATATGTCTGTATGTATTTAATCCTTTCTGCCCCTGCTGTATTCCTGATGATCTATTCACATCTTACTGACACTGACAATCTATGCTGATTGTGCTGAAATAAATACAGTTAAATGTAGCATACATGCAGACTTATGCCACGCAATAGATATATAGGTAATTAAATGAGTATAAAATCTAGACCACATGTAGAGGACATTCAGCAATCTATAAACTTAATATATTTGACTCTGGATATATGGTATACATTGGTTTTATCACTACTTAAATGTACTAGTTCTAAATTATCTGTAATTATAAAGCCAACAGATAGAGTAGGAAAAAACCAAAAAAGCCTTTGTAAATGTTCATATCTGAGACAGATAGTAGCCTACAGTTTTTACAGCATAAATTTTTAGACAAGCAATAAATGGAAAAAGATGGGCTATCTTTAATAATTGTTGGTTATGGGTTATGATTTATAAACTGTTGCTCTGAGATTAACAGTGACTGTTTTGTATTAGCTTTTGGAGGTTTTGGTTTTTGGGTTTTTTTTTTTGTTTGTTTGTTTTAAATTTAGATCATTACTGTGCTTTGAAATGAATTCATGCAATGTATGCACTTGTTAAGCTTTGGTTAACACCAATAAATGGTCCTGGTATGCACAAGTTGTTTTCCTTTCAGATGAAACTGAATTGGGAAATGCACTGCAGGAGTGCAGTGTATGTACTTCCACATGTAGTTAACAGCCTGCAGGTGAGACCAATTTAGGACTAGTCAAGGCTTTAACCTCTGAAATGTGTGTGTTTTGTCATAATTGTCTAACTCCAAAGTTCTGCTTTCTGTGTGTTGCAGTACTTGCTAGGATGGTGTGAATTGAACAAATTTTTTGGGAGGGATTTTTTTTCTTTTGTTTTGAGACAGGATTTCTTCTTTTCTTCCAGGCTTTGTCTTTGTCCTGTGGAACATAGGTTTCATTGGATTTTGAGTTCAGGAACTCAGAACTTTATTAAAACAACAAAAGGCAATGTTGAAAAAACTTGTTGAAGTAAGAATTTAGTTGTTTTGGCAGGAGACATTAAATCTAGCAAAACTTGATTTCTTTTTTCCAGGAAAGAACAGTAACAATTAGAAGACAGACTGTAGGAGGATTTGGATTAAGTATAAAGGTAAGATGATATTTTGGTCTGTTTATTGCATATCACACAAAGAGTGTCTTTGTATAGAATCAATGTTACTGTTAATAAGTGCAAACTGTTCTAGACTAGAAACAAGACAGGAAACATATTCTTGTATGTTAGATGCTGTTACAGTAGGCAACCAGAACTATGCTACCTTATGGAAGGAAGGCAACCATTCCCTTAAAATTCAGGCTGACCAACTCTGTAATAAGGTTTGATGTAAGAGTTGAGAAGTGTTTTTAACTGTATAGACTGTACTTGTTCGGCTTCTCTCCAATTTAAATAGTTATTAATGAACGCTAAATTACAGTGGCAGGAACAAGGAACAGCCAATAAGTCCATCATCAATTCTGCTACAAAGAATATCACATTAATTCATTGCAATTCATTAGTGGGACAGAAAGTGTTATTGCGTGCTTGTATTGTTTATTTTTCTGTAGATCAAGCCCAGACAGCAATTTATCATGTAAATGTGGTTTTGCTTTTCTCAGTAAGATTTAAGAACATATACAAATGTAGGTGATCCTTTTTAGGAGAGGGAGGAAGGGTTAATAATTTTTGTCATTGTAATCTATGAGTTTCAAAACTTTACCTTAGCTTTGAGTCTGAGTGTAGACAGCACAAGATTAATTTTATCTTCTAAACACAGCAGTTCTCAGTCTCAAGATAGCAATGGAAAAAATGAAGTGTACTTCACATGAATGCAAAGAGGCCTAAATTATGCATATAAAGTGAAAGTATAGATTTTCCTATGGCATCTGCTTATACTGACCTTATAAGTGACTCCTCATAAGAAGGATTAATGTGCATTTGTGTTGTCATTGATAAGAATATGACTGAATAGAAGTATTAATTTTTAAAAATGTCTTAGTGCACTTGCTGTTATCTTGTTGAACCATGAAGACCTCTGTTCAAGGAAAACTAATTGCTATTTTGTCACCAAAGTTTCTCATCAGTTTAGTCAACAATATTTAAGTTTTTTTTTCCTCCGGTATCATTATAGGTTACAGCACACTGAATAATGAAGAAGTAAGGAATGTCAGTGTAAAATCAAGTATATGGGTAAATGAAGTTTTATTTAAATGCTACTAAGAAATAACTGGTTACAGTAAAGACTAGATAATTGGAGAGCAAATCTCGAGAGTTGACAAATTTGATTTTACATATACTTTAAAATAAGTTATAATTTAAAATTAACATCACTAACAATCTCAAGATCACATTATTTAAATATTATGTACATTGCATAAAATAAAACATCATTTAGAAACATAAATAGAGAATGTACAATGGTCTTTCTTAAAATTAATAGAGTTAAGTTATTCTTAACTTTTTAGAGTAAGATATTTATTTTCTATGATTATTTTATATCATAGATATTTTGATCCAAATTAACCAAAGTATTGGAAAGGCGAAGACACATAAAGTCAGGTGTGAATAGACAATTTTAAATTTTTTTAAATAACTAGCAATCAGGTGAAAAATCCCTTCAAAAATGTCATTAAAGAGCAAAGAGTTCCCTTTAAAAAAGGAAACTCAGACTTGCTTGGATGGCATAGATTGGATAATGAAACTGAAAAGTTGAATTCTGTGGTCCAGGATATTCTGTCGATGTGTTTCAGGTAGTATGATTTATTATTTTAAAATTACTTATTTTTTAAAAAAAATCAATGTTGGTGGGACCATTTCTGCTAGATCCATATATTAGTAGTTCTACATTCTCACAAAGATGGACAAGCATTTGGATAGCCAACACAATAAAAAAAAATAAATAGTATTATTATAATTTTAAACTAGTGTAAGAAACAACTTAGAATGGAAACTTAGAGTAATTTTTTTTTTTAGTTTAGTAGGCAAACTTTATGAAGACTCACTGAAATGAACTTTTTATTTATGGCATGAATTGACATTTCAGATCCAAACACTCTGAAAGGTGCTGGTTTTCTATTTAAAATTCAGTTAGGGTTTGCTTCTTGCTGATGAATACAAGTTTGCTGCTATGGTTTTGTTTTGTTATGTAAGATTCCTGAACTTTAATAAAGAATCTTATATTTGTTGATGATTTTAAATAGAAATATAATTATTTTAATTTTTGCCAGAAAGTAGAGGTCTACAAGTCACCCTGAAGGAGAGAGAAGCACTGAGGCCTCTCCTCCTTTGTCAGTAACTTCCGTAGCCTCTCGAACTACAGTAGTGTCTGTTGTCTTAATACTCCCAGACTAATTAAAAATAGGGGTTATTTGAGGACTTGCTTTCTGGCTGTGATGTATGTCAGAGGATGTTGTTTACCTGAGGTGTTAATTACAGCAGTACAGTGATTAATGACACTCACTTTAGAATACTTGCTTGGGCTTGGTTATGAATTTGCCTAGTTTCAGCTATCAGGTCTGGGGCATTAAGATGTCTTTTTTTTGTGTACTAACTTAAAACATCCATTTCCTGCCAGAAAACTAACATGAAAATGTCACCTTTCAACTTTCTCTTGAATAAATTTTTTAAATGTCTTATCCCACTGCAAGAATTTTGAACCCTTGGAATTGTTCTTTTTCTGAAGACCAGAGAACAAATTCCTAATAATTCTAAAATTAAACTATATTTTTGTTTTATCTCTCTGTGCGGTACATAGACATAATACTTCTCTTATAACCTGGGTATTCCAACTATATTTCTAAAAATCAGAGATTCAGCTAACTGCTTAAGAAAAACTCTGCCTCTAGGGTTGACTTTTGTCCAAGACCTAAACTTCAGCCCTTTAAGAAATAGATTATAATCCACTCTTTTAGGATTTGAAAACCTGGTGTTTGCCTGTATGTCTTAGCTGAAGTTAGTGGTGAAACTGTGGTTGAACTTGTAGCAGACCTGCTCTGGTTTACACTCTTATGAAGAAATGATTTTCTCTCTTCGGAAGGCTCCTGTTAAATGTTTGTGAAGAAATAGCCATAGACATAGATATAGAATTTGGCAAGTGTAGTATTTCAGTCATTTATCACATCTCTGGCAAGTTTGAGATGTAGAGCCTTGACAAGAGGATGCTCAGTGTATGATTTTGGAAAGAACATCCTGTTTTTCTATAATTGGAGTGTAGTGTTCCTGAAGAAATAGGCAACAAAATTGATAGTTCATTAAACAAATTGAGGTTTTTGGTTACAGTCTGACTTCTGGCTCCCAGGACTCTGTACACTGCCATTATTCTGCCTCTGTTTTGATCATTCTTTTAAAATGATGAACAGCATCAGAGGTCTTCTGAGGTTCAGTCTGAATTTCCCAGTTTAACTCAATCAAAAAATTCAGTGTCCATAGACCTTAAAGCTATTTTTGTTAGTGGAAATACTTCTTTTTAGTATCAACTCATAGTCCCCTACATTGTCTAACTCTGATGATGGTAAAATTCAACAATTGGTCTGATCTTTTATAAATTTTTTTGTAGAAGATAAAAAAATTAATTTCCTTGTTATACTTAGAACCAAAAATCCTTAGCCTTTTTCAATAAAAGTAACTACTTTCAATTGCCCTATTTTTCATATGTGAAAAACTTCTGAAAAAGAAAAAACCCTCACACATAAAAATTGGGATAGGAAAAAAATCTTTAGGAGTGTATCATGTGACACTTTGAAAGGAGGTGTGGGTGACCTCTCACCAGTAGTGGCCAACATTCAGGACAGTGACCTTCAAAGAGCTGCCAGTGATTAGAGCTTCCTCTGCCCCTTCTAGCAGGACCACCTCCACAGGGGGGAAGCTGCTGTCATTCCAGGTTTATCCCTGCTTAAGGAAAAATTACAAAGAAAATTTGCTTGACAAAGATCATTGTTAAAGTCTGGCAGAGGTCTGAGCCATTAAGTCTTCAACACCACTATTTGATGTATTTCTGTCCATCCTCTGGTCTGAGGTTATAACTACATGCCCGTACTAGAGGAAGAGAAAATTTAAAGCAGTGGAAAAGTGGCCTCTGTTCCCAGAGGTTTCTTCAGAAGAGTAACCCCTGAGACTGTAAAACCAGATTTTAGACATGCATACACTTTTTCCTCTACAGGACAGAGAATCACGTATGGAGAGTGCAGGATGCAAGGCTGCAGTGTCAATCTGAAGTAGCATCCAACAGGATGCTGGCAGAATATACAGTTTGCTACAAATTGCTAACAGTGACTGGGTATAGATAGTTGATCAACTATTTGCTGTTTCCAGTTTTGATTTTTTGTTTCTTAAAATAGCAGGCACTATATCCTTTTACTATTTAAAAAGAAGCCTTCATACAGGTCAGAATTGGATGCAATGAGAAGAGATAGTTCCCTTGGGTAGGACACTGCTGAAAGCTTTCTCAGATCTGTAGTGCAAATGGATTTAGGTAAATTCAATACAACGAGAGAGGAATAATCATGTTGCGTGCATTACAGGCTGGCTTAGTAATAAAAGTAATTTCCTACTTTAATGGAGCTTCAGATCTAAGGAGGCAAGGAGGCTATTTTAAACCTCACACTTCTTTGCTGGACTTTAAGTATCCTGGATAGTGCAACATGTTTGTAACATTGGAAGCTTAGAAAGAAAGTGACACAGTTATTTTTTCTGTTTGTTTGAAACATTTTAAAGAAATTAAATTTGCATGTGGCTAGAAAATTTGGAGGGTATAGGTTAAAACTTATTAATTTAGTGAGCTTGAACTCATTATCTGCAGTGAAGCCAGCTTTTACTGTTGGTATTCTTCTGGTGAAAACTACTGAAAGATATTTAAAAAGCTATAATGCTACAATTTGATGGTGGCCTCTGGTTTTTATGGAGTCAATACTCAGTCTGTATTGGAAATACCAATATGTTCTGTGTTTGTCAACACTTGTCTTATGCAATGCCAGTAGAACTTTACCTGTAGACATATAATTGTTGTAATATTACTGAGATCTCAGTGTTTTTGGGGCTGTTTGATAGCCACTAGCAAAAGCAACATTTATCCTATTTAACATTCATCCGCTTTAACATTCTGTGGTTTCAGAGGAAATGAATCTTTACTCCCTGACAGAAAGAGGTGTTGAGTGCAGGAGTCTGTTCAGTTTCAAACACTGATATTACATGAAGAAGGGATGTGTGCTGTTCCTCAGGATTGAAATACCTATGTCAGTCCTTTTCACAACTTGACACAGGTTACCTGGACCTAATAAAGCCATCATTTCCAAAGTAAAATCTGTCTGCTGAAAAGAAGAGTATACAAACCTTCAACCAGTATTCCTAGGTGAAACAGTGTGGCAGACATTGGTTTCTGGTGACTTGAATTTGTACAGCTTGCATTTGAGTTGCATTGATGCTCTTGACAGAGGAAAAAGTATTTGTGTCTCTCTGTATTTTTGCCTTTACCTTCCTTTGAATTTTCTTTTCATTTCAGGTTTATTTTTATAACTTTGTTCTTAAGCACCATAAATATTTCCAGTCCCAACAGGTTAAATTGAATGAAGCAACACCATTGAATTGTTGTTGAACTCTTGAAACTATCATCTGGTTTTCCTTTATTTCTCTCCATTTATTGAACACCTACTGTTCCATTTCTTAATGCTTCTTTTTCTGTTCCTTATTACTTATGCCACTACTTTCCTCACTCTTTGTGCTTGTGTGACAGACAGAAACAAATAAAGGCTGCTTTTGACATGAAAAGGCCAAACCTTCTTTCTTGTGCTTTTGTTTACCTCCTTGTCAGCATGAAAACTAAGTGGTCACAGTGTGATTGCCATTATAGCTGGATGTCCATTCTGCTTTTACAGGACACATTTCGTACATTAGGCTCTCCAGAATTCACAGAAAATGGTGTCCTACAAGTCTGGTAGAGTTCTGAATTCACTTCCTGTGCTAATGATGGCAACTGAGAACTTCGTTATGTGAGACAATAAAGAATTAATCACAGTCAAATATTCATGAGAAAAAGAGGAAGTACAGAATCAATTATTTGCTCAGTCTCTCTAAAAACTGCACTTAGAGAAAGGGTAAAATACAACTTTAAGCAAAAATATATTTTTATGACTGACAAAGATTGTAATTTATTTTATTTTCAGGGTGGAGCAGAACATAATATTCCAGTGGTCATTTCTAAGATTTCCAAAGAACAAAGAGGTGGGTATCGGGTATCAGCTTATTACACTGTACTTTAATGTTCCCTTTAGAAAAACATGTATTAAATCTTGAGATTCTTCAGTCAATGTTAAACAAATACTGTTGTTGAACCCTTTCTCTCCCATATTTTTATGATCTCTCTCTTCCTCAGAAACTTTTTCTGAAAAAGTACAGAATTGATATTTGGAGTAGTTTTTAAAGTCCTCAAAATTTTTTATTTTTTTATTTTTTTATTTTTTTTTAGAAAATAGAAGCAGGAAAGTAATAGGGAAGTATTAGAAAACAAAAAGAAAGTACAGAAGAGAAATAGGAATGTTTAATAAATTTAACAAAAGGCAATGATTTAGTGGCTTTGACTTCCCAGTAGTTATTGTCTGGAAGCTGTAGCAGATTAAATCTTCGGCTCTTAAATCATAGTAACACAGCAGGAGAATGCATGACTTTTTAACCTGGTTACTCAGGTAGTATTTATAGTACTTTGAGTACTGCATAAAGTTTTGGCCATAATTATTTTTAATTGTAACAGGGCTAGTGCTCAATTTTGGTATTGATTTAACTGGCAACATTTTGAAATTATTGGAATTATACATGGATAATAGTTAAACAGCTCAAGATGTGCATAAGTATGAAGGAAGAAGGTTGTGAACCAGTACTGATATGGTGTACTTAATATCTTTGTTTTGTTTTGTATGTATTTGTATAAGGCCGGAAATGCAAACTTGGAAATATTTCCATTTATCTGTATTGCAATAACTCTAGAACTCAGCTTCTCCTCAACTAAAATATGCCAGTATGAAAAAAAAAGTCTCTTACTTACCCACTCAGATAGAGATGTATGGAAGAATCAGCATATTGAGAGCCAAAAGCCAACCCTGAAAGGTATATGTGAAAGTTGGAGTTAGGGAGAATAAGGAGTAGCAAGGAATGAGCCCCTAAGGAAGGCAATAAGTTTAACCTTAAGAATTTATACTTGTGACTACAATCTTTTCAATATACATGTAACTAATACATAAAGATGTGGCATATATTACATGCAGTAGCTATTAAGGACTGCAGGAAAAATCAGAAAAATATACTTGAGTTTAATTGAGCACACTGAAGTGCAGTTTTATTTCTGTCATTAGTTTTTTTGCTGCAGTTGCTCTTGCATTGTTTCTAGCCCCAATACCTAGCTGTGATATAATCTTCATTACTGTTTTCAATAAAAATACTGAAGATTTTTGCAGAGCTGGTTTTGAGGGACATCTCTTTCATAGGAGACTGCTGTCTTGAGATTTAGAAAGTGTCATGCTGTGTTCCTGGACTAGAGAACTTTGATAGAGAAAATTCTGTTTGACACAAAGCCTATGCCTCAAAATAAATCAGAATGTCTGTCGCGTAATAATTTAACCATCCGTTGTTAAATATATCTAATAGGACCATTCCATCAAACAAGGACTTAAGTATCATAATTTATATCAATATTGATTCCAGTTTTGCATGTAAGTAAGTAAAGTTTTTGGATCAAGTCCGATACTAGTTTTTTCCAGACAGTACCTTCTATGTTGCTATGGAGTACTATAGGTAATAATCACATGTAATATCTTAATATCCCTTAGTTCTCATGTTCACGTTCTTAAAGGTTATTCATGCATTTACAGACAAATAATCTGTTATATTTCTGGTATGCTTATAAGGTGTATTTGAATGAGATAGCTCTGAAATGGAACACAGTGTTTAAAAGGAAGTGTAGAACTAGATTTTATAAATGTCTTTGTGATGCAGCTTTGTTTTTAAAATCACAATTTGGCTAGTGACTTTTTTACAATATATTGATTTTTTAGCTCTTCACCATATTGCAAGTGTTATCCCGCATTAATAGTCCCTGTTATTTATCAGAGTTTATCAAAGATGCGAGATCTAAAGGGTCCTTTATCTTTGGCAAAAACCTAAAAATTAAATTTGTAATTCACACATGGAGTCTCCATGTTGCTTTTTTCTCTTTGTAAGAAATTATCTCTCACAGGCAAATAAGACCTAGTCCTGCAGTCATCTTCTATTCTGAAAAATATGCCCCACCTTACCAGAATGGCCTAAAAGGTGCTAGTGACTGATGGATGAAGTTTCATAGTCGTGTGCTTGAGCTGAATAACCTCTTTTATTGAAACACTGATACATAAGTATTTTGGGTTTAAAAAAGAAAATGCAAGTAATTTATTTGAAAATTTTATGTTGGGGTTTTTATCATGTTTTTGTTTGAAATTTTAAAAGATTATGCAAAAGCATTAAATTCAATAAAAATTTTTGTACACAAAATGTTGAATGTTTTGTACAAAGTGAGTGAAAAATATGCTTTCTGTTTTCAGCGGAACTTTCAGGTTTGCTCTTTATAGGAGATGCAATTCTACAGGTGAGTAAAACTGCAGATTATTTTGGCTGTATTTTTCTAGAAAAGTGAAATGAAATCTATGCTTATGAAATGTAGAGTAAGTCTTTTCTTTATCTTTTTAATAACAGATTAATGGAATTAATGTGAGAAAATGCAGGCATGAAGAAGTGGTGAGCTTTTCTGTTTTTTAGTCTACTTTTTTGTCTTTTGTAGTTGCTGAAATGATAGTGTATGCTGATAGCAATGCAGTGGCATCAGCTGTTTTATTGTTGTTCCTAAACAAATATGCCTGTACCTTCTAACATGACAAGCTACAAAGTGCAATCTTTTCTTTCTAAATCTGTGTAATTGCTCTTCTTAGATAGGATTTTCTATATTAAAGGTGATTGTTTTATTATGAAGATTTGAGCTTTACAAATTCCAGCATTTCTTCTTCCAGATAATAGCTGTCAAATTTCAGCTGTGCTGCACCTTTCTGGCTGTGTGGGGTCATTTTAATTTCAACAGCTGTAATTTGCACTGTGTTGGAGGTTTGTTGTTTGGTTACTTTTAATCCTGTTAAAAAAAATTAGAGAAAACTATTCATCTGCCACTCATCCTCAGGCTGTTCCTTATGAGGGTGCTCTTCTCCTTTAGTTAAGATGCTATCGTTTTGGGTGTAAAATAAAATTTTATTAAGGAGATTTCTTCTTGAGAAGAAATGTTTGAAAGGTCTGTAGTAGGCTGGTTCCACTGGTGAATCAGCTTTGCTAAATGCATCATGTACTTTAGCCATATTTTTTTTTGACTCTTAAATACTTTCAGAAGCAGAAAACCCTTTATTTCAGAAAGCAATGCCAGAAATTAAAAGATTACAAAAGAAAGTACTTTTAAATCCTGTTTAGCTCCATAGCATTTGTACCTGTATTTTTAAAATAACGTAGTACTGACATACTCGAAGGCTTCTCTGTCTGACTCATTTCCAATTCAAGGACACTCCTTGCATGTCATCCAGCATTCTGCTCTCTGACAGATCAGCGAACATATGCTGTTCAGGTATAGAAAGCAGGAGTTAATATAGATGAAGTTCTGTTGAAGTTTAGTGCAGGCTGAAAGATTAGATCACTGCACTATTCTTCTGAGTGTTTTTGCACACTTGTTTCCTTTTGGAAATCTACTGAAAATCCTTTTTCATCCTTCAGTGCCCTCATCATACCCCCTTCCGTATACACTGGCTAGTAGTTGTATTTATATTGCTTTTAGGTTTTGTCTGCGCAACAATGATTAGGTTGTAAATATTTTATAAGTTTACTGCAGTTGACTTGTTTACTATACATTGATATGGCAAATCTCTCAGTGGGATTTAAATGTTAGAATTTAAATGTTGGAATTACAAAACATGAGAAAGATATTACTAAAAGAGTAGCCTTGTACACTCGGATGTGGATTGAAAATTAGTTAGGACATCAGGTTTTTATTTTCTATTTTCTGAGACATTCTCTAAACCCTCAAAATGATACATAAATCTATTCGGTGTTTATGATAAGGTTGAAACCCATTCACGGGAAGAAAAGAGGTTTTGGAAAAGCTGAAAGGGGAGATTGACATAGAGTAGCAAGTGTTATCGTGTTCAATTTTGATTTATACCTTATTTATCTAACATAATCTGCTTAAACTCCTTGTAGATAATTCTCTGTGAATTAAAAAAAATAGTATCTTACCAGTTTTGAATGTGCATTTATGTATTTGCAAATGGTTTAGGAATTCAAGAAGCAAATAATTTTTAAATTAAATCCTTATTTTAATTATGAATATTTTTAATATTTAATAGCAAATATTGACTAATATTTCAATAGGATCAAATGTCCAGATGACATTTTATAAAATAAAATATGCATAAGAGTTATAGATATATATAATATAAATAAAAAAACCAAAGTACATGAACTCTGCTAATCCATTTTTTTTTCAGAAACCTTCACTGTTATATGCTATGTGTTTATGGAGTAAATTTTTTGTAAAGCTGCAATAATGGTAATATATGTGGTTCTGCATTCTGTGGTCACCTGTGAGTTTAGGCTTAGCCCTCAGTAAAAGCACATCCACTGGTGTGCCAGCAGGAGTCGCAGGGAGGGTTTTGTCTGCAGCACGTCCTTTGCAGCTGGAGTTGATCTTGGACTTCTGTCCTGTGGGGTCTTTATCAAATACAGGATCTGTAGCTCTAATCTCAAGGTAATATAGAGTAAATAGTAGTGTGTGGAGCCTAGTGGCTTGCAGCAGGGAGTTGAACAGGAGTTGAAACTTAATTTTCAATCCTTACAGCATCTAGGCACTTTTGCAATGGCTCTGCGGACACCTGAACTCGTAGCTTTGTTTTGTTCTAATTTTTTCTGCACCTAATTAAGGCTTAGCAGGTACAATGTTATGTAGTGTTTGGGTTGTCTTAATGTCTTAGAAAATTTCCATTGTAAACATGTGGGTAATTTTTTTCAGTGGTTAATGCTGAAGATACCTGTAAAAAATTCAGACTTGTATCTACAGTGTGACTGTGATGAGCATTCATTCTTTTCCTACATGCGAAATGTGTTACTGCTTCTGGAAACTTTTTAAGCATATGCCATATCTTCATAGCTCTGCAGTGAAAAAATCTGTGGCATAATCATTGCAGCCTATTGTAGGAAACTGATGAGTAGTCAACCCTGGTATTTAATCTTGCTTTACTGGTAACCATACTATGTATATAAAATTATTTGATTTTCAAAATTAGATAGTTTAATCAAACTCATGGCATCTTTCATAGCAGGGAGAATCTTTCCCCAATGTACAGTGATCTTAGTTAACATTGTGGGCACTCTGTTGTCTTTATTGTCTTTCAGTACTTTAGATATTGATAGATAGATACATACATAGAAAGAAAGAAAAAAAGATAGATGGACTAATAGACTCTGATAAGCCTAGATAGGTAGGTTTAGTCAGTTCTTCATGTACCTTACTGGAAGCCTTTACGTGGTTCCTTTCTGATTATTTTATTTCGCTTTAGGTGAATCACTTCATCTTGAGCTTAGTTTTCTGCTTGTAGAAGGTGAAAATCTTGTTCACACCGTGAAAGCACATGATGACTTTCTATCAAAGACTGACTGTCAGCTTGCTGTTTCTCTTGGATTGTAAAGAGCCCCAACTGAGTACAGCATAACATTGCTTCAGTCTTAGTGCTCTGATGTGGTAAGGTAAAGACATAGTCTCTCTGGTGAAGTGTCAATATAGGAGAAGGATGCAGAAAAAAAATAAACTAGCAATTTATCATAAAAAATATCTCCCAGCATCTCTCAAACTGGCAGTATCAGTCAAAAAAATGCAATATGAACTTGTGTATAGAAGAAGAGTCCATTGTATCTGTTTAAATACACAACTTGGTGCTCTTTTTACTCAGGGTGTTTTAATTATTCCTTTTTCGGTAGACACTCCTTTAAATTTTTCAACAAGAATTTTAAAAGGCTGAAATTAGGATTATTCACATACAGACCTATGAGTTTTGGCTTCTGTCTAATTAATAAGGTCTAAAAATGCATAGCTTGTCAGTCCACACACCTAATGGTAATAGATATGATTATTCTTAAGGATGTAAATTAATGTATTTCTAGCTTTTACCTCAATTTATTGTCCAAACATAAAGATGGATAGATAAGCACCAACGTAATATGGTTGTATGGATGTTTTTGGTGGTTCTGGGTCTAGGCACAATGTCACTAAAAGTGAACAAGATTTTGGGAGAGAGTGAGAGGCCCTTGAGCCACTTGTGAGTGGCTACAAGTAGGAGAGTGTGTCAGTTCAGTTGGATGCTACCAAAAACCTTGTGTTGGATCTACTGTTCAGGGTTGTAGTGCACCAAATCATCTAGAGCCAAGGTAGAATTGCAGTTGAATGAAGGCTGATATGTTTAAGTTTTTCTCTGTTCTTAATGTTGTGAATGAAACATCTCAGATAGTATCAATAACTATGGTTGCATATCTCTTTGGATCTTAGCATATGGTTTTTTTCCTTAGGAAGTAGAAGAAATTAAATTACTATGGATATGAAGTAATTTCTTCTATTTGGGGAACATTCAGGGAATGTTTCAAATGAAAAATGACAGCTCACATGTGTCAGTTAATGTGGCATTTGAGCATTCCTTGAAAAGTAACAGGAAAAGCTCATTTAGTCACAGGGAGCTATAAAAACAGAATAGATATTCAGGCTTTGGTGGCTTTTATGTAAAGGTAACTACAATATGTAGCACTGTGGTTCAGTTCAGCCACTGCTTGCATTTTGCAAGACACCATTTTTTCTAGAAGAATGACCTGATTTGAGATGTCCTTGTGCACTGCATTGAATCTTTAGCTTCCCTCTTTTCTCAGCATTCATAGCAGGACTGTAACTGTGCTGACTCTCCGTGAGTCATTTATGTTCTATGAAAGTGGCAGTGTAGGGATTGTTGCTGCTTAACTGCAATCATCTGCACCTAATGAAACTCTTACTCTAGCTTTTCTCTTTAAAACTATGGTGTCATTAAAACTGATTTTTAACTCATTATTAATAGTTTTGGCAATGTTTCTCATAAATGTTTTTAAGCAGAAGAATGAGCATATTGTATTTTTAAGACAGGAAACCAAGTGATCTGAAATCTCACTCCAACTTGACCTTGCAGATGTGTCTTTTGGTAAATCATGCTTTTATCATATCTTTGTTTCCCTAACTATGAAACAGAGACCTAGACTATTATTGGATTTAGCTCTCAGAATTTTATTAAGTACTTCTGAATCTGTTATAGAAAAGTACCTCTGCATTAATATTTTGCTGTTTCATGAAGCGATAACAGCAACCCACGAATAGATGTACCACTTTCTCATATTGCAGAGATCCTGTACTTTATAACTCATGGCACAACCATTTAATCCTTTCCCCTCTAGACAGAATGGCGACTCTAAATGTGGAAGCTGCACAGTCGGTGCTTCTAAGACTATAATCAATTTGCAGTTTTTAACTTCTGAGTTTAAAAGTGAAATGTGAACTTCCTGGGAATCCAATATTTACTCTTTCCATACAGCTGCTGTTTTCTATCTAAGACTTGAGTAATAACAAAAATAATAATATTAGTAAACGGATGTTGCCTTAGCTATCCCAGCATAATTAATGAAAATACCTGTTATTGAAT